GAGGGAGAAAGAAATGTCTAATCAGAAAAGAATGAAGAAACAAGAATTCAAAAAAATGAGGAGAGGCTTAGGAACCTCTGGGACAACTTTAGACATTCCAACATCCAAATCAGAGGGGTGCCAGAAGGAAAAGAGGAAGAGCAAGAAATTGAAAACTTATTTGAAAGCATAATCAAGGAGAACTTCCCCAATCTGGCAAAGGAAACAGACTTCCAGGAAGTCCAGGAAGCTCAGAGTCCCAAAGAAGTTGGACCCAAGGAAGCAAATACCAAGGCACATCATAATTACATTAACCAAGATTAAAGAGAAGGAGAGAACCTTAAAAGCAGCAAGAGAAAAGGAGACAGTTACCTACAAAGGAATTCCCATAAGACTATCAACTGATTTCTCAAACCTTCCAGGCAAGAAGGGGCTGGAAAGAAGTATTTGAAGTCATGAAAGGCAGGGACCTACATCCAAGAGTACTCTATCCAGCAAAGCTATCATTTAGAATGGAAGGGCAGATAAAGTGCTTCCCAGATAAGGTCAAGTTAAAGGAGTTCATCAGCAAGGCTTTATTATATGAAATGTTAAAGGGACTTACCTAAGAAAAAAAGAAAAAATATGAACAGTAAAATGACAACAAACTCATAACTATCAACAACCAAACCTAAAAAAAAAAAATGAACTAAGCAAACAAGTAGAACAGGAACAGATTCACAGAAAATGGAGATCACATGGAGGGTTATCAGTGAGGAGGGGGAGAATGGGGGAAAAGGCACAGGGAATAAAAAGCATAATTAGTAGGTACAAAATAGACAGGAGGAGGGTAAGAACAGTATGGGAAATGGAGAAGCCAGGGAACTTATATGTATGACCCATGGACATGAACTAAGCGGGGGGAATGATGGTGGGAGGGGGTACAGGCTAGAGGGGACTGAAGGAGAGAAAACAATGGGACAACTGTAATAATGTAATTAAATGTATTTAAAAAGAAACCATGAAAACCATTCTCGGCTCACATACAGAAACGAAGGGCCAGACCTTTGCTGTAAGGGGTCCTCGGTCACAGGCTGTGCTTTGGGGGTAACGGCTCCGGTGAAAGGATTGGGTGGGGACCTGAGTAAGCAGAAGACCACCGTGGCCCCCAAGCAGGGAGGTGGGGGATGCAGACAGGTCACGGTCATCTGCAGTGTGGCCATTGCTGTCACAGCACAGTCCCCTCGGCCCACCTGAAACAGGGCAGATGCCACTGGATTGTTTGTGCAGCCACTGCATCTGCAGCAGCCACTGGGGCTGTTCAGACCTCACAGGAGCTGTGGCTTTAACCCTGCCGAACCCTGGCTGAGGGGGAACCAGATGTTCCCCATCCAGCTCACAGCTGCACCAATATTCAGCTCCTTTTCCTCCCCCCACATCCAGTTGTGAGGACCCCGCCTCACCGTAAGGAGGCTGGCAGGTCAGACGGCTCCATGCTACTCTTACATTCAGGGGTTTCGTTATGGATCCCTGGTCTGTAAGACGTGGAAGCCCATCTGAGGAGGTTGCCACCCTGTGGACCGCCACTTTGATCTGCCACATGGCAGACATGGGGTGCAAGATGCTGTGGACCTGAAAGCACTTCCTCTTACCATCTCACTTGGTTTTCCTGAGTGGAGTGAACAAGGAGATGCAACTTTCACCATTTTGCAGATGGGAAAAACTGAGGCTTGGAGAACTAAAATAACTTTCTCGGGGCACAGAAAGGGAGCAGCATTTGTATCCAGTTCTGTCTCCAAGGGCCTGACTCCGAAGCTTTTGGTGTACCGGGAAGACTTGAGGGGATAGGTATGCACAGAAGAAAGGGCTTCTTCTATAGGAACCAAGCAGGCTGGCACCTGCTCAGAGTGAGAAGGAGGAGTGGGCTGGCCCCTCCAGCATCCGCCTCCCCTCTGTCTCACGGTGGGCCCTCAGGCCTGCAGCAGCTCTGGTTCTTCTGCTGCCTTGTCTGGGGTAGAAATAAATGGGCTTCAAGCCACTGGCAGTGCCAGCTGCCTGCCCCTCTCAACATGCCCAGCAGCACCATCCCCAGGGACACCCACCAGAGCCCCGAGGCCCTTCTGCGTGAATGAATAGCCCTCCTGGCTTTTATCTCTATTTGCTCGTAGATATTTACTAGTTTATTGTCTGATGTGCAGTCAGCACTCAATATTTATTTGTTGCATGGATGAATGAGTGAGTTAATTCTCTTACCTTCAGATGCCCCAGGAAGGCCTGGATAAGATTCTCCAAGTTTAGCTTTCACAGGTGTTTTTGGAATTTTGTCAGATTGGATCAGCACATAGTAGGGCTACAAGGGAGCATGCATTGGGCACTTTGCACACACTGGCTTCCTTCTCATGGCCATACACTGTCAGTTCCCCATCACTCCGTTTTCCAGAACAAGGAACTGAGGCTGGGGGGTGGGGCGAGGATTTGGACCCATATCAGAGGCACCACAGCCCTTTCCAGGCCCTTAGTTGTGGTGGTAAAGGAGGCACCCTAACCCTGAAGACAAAGCTCGAGCCCAATAGAAGGAGTGCTGAGGAAGGAGGGAGCCTGCCCAGGGCCCCCGAGCCTGCCCAATCCCGTCAGCCCCAGGCACAGCCTGTGCCAGGGCCAGGCAGGGACCACTCACAGCTCCCTCCCCTCTCCCACCAGCTGCGTGCCTGGGACTGGAATTCTATTTGTCATGGGTTGCCAGCAGAGGCAGGTGCAGAAAACTGAGACCGCAGTAGGCCTTCCCTCAGAAGTAAGCGGCCTGCACGACCAGGGATGTGATCGGGGCCCCATATAAGGAACACTGAGTTTACTGCCCAGCCTGTGCTGGAAATCCCATTGAAACCTACATCCCTTGAGGTGTCACAGCTTCTGGCTTTCAGGTGTCTCCTCTAATCATGCATTTAAATGGAGAAGAAGAAACCTGGGTGTGAATGTATTCCGGAGGGAGCTTCAGAGCAGCAGAGCCCCCACCCCGGGCTGGCCCAAGACCTCTGTATTAGCCTTTGCCACTGGATGGGAGATGCTGGCCTCCGCCTCCCGTCCCTGCCCTGGGTGCTGATGTGTAGGGGACAGAAGAGCAGTGTGTGACCCATTCCCCGCTGTCCACAGCTTCTGCCTCACAGGACACTCCAGCTTCTCCAGGCTTACTCACCTGCCACCCCCCTGAGCCCACCTGCGGAGACCCGCCTTCTGAGAAGGCTGCAAGACAATGAGAAACATACGTTTTCTTTCCTGTAACATGCAATTTCCTACCGCACATGCACTGTTGAAGATTGGAGGCCCACAGCTGGTGAGCGGCTGCCCAGGGGCTCCATCAGGTCTCCTTGGCACCAAAGCCTGAGCGTTCCCAGCCCTGTGTCCTTTGTGCTGGGGGCGGGGGGGGGGAGGAGGACAGTAGAGGGACCGCAAGCCCCTCCTCCTCCCACCCCTGCTCCAGGCCCTCCCCTGGCCCATTCCTTAGCATTCCTTCTAGTTCCTCCCTTTCTGGACGTGATCGCAAAGCCAGGCCTAAGGCTCAGGGATCCATCTCCCAGGGCAACTGCCAGGCAGTGTGGAAGGCCGATCAGGGGAGTCGCTGGTCCTCAGGGGGCGCTTGTCTTCACTGAGATGCAGGCGGAGACAGCAGCCTGCTTCCCCTTGTGCTACGGTCGTTTCTACAGACCAGCAGTCTGGTCCCCCCGCCAGCAGCAGCATCACCTGCGAACCTGTGAGAAGTGCCCCTTGTCACGTCCCCTCCCAGACCTCCCGAAACAGAAACCCCGGGGCCGGGCCCCGTGACCTGCGCTTGAACACGACCTGCCCCGGTGGCCCCGAGGCATCTAGGTACGAGAGCCGCTGGCCCTGGAGCGCCGCCCGTGGCTTCCTGTGTCGCCCACCCCGACCGGGCTGTTCACACGGCCACACGTGTTCTGACTGTTTATCTCATTTTATACATTGTGTCTACGTGCTCTTGTTATACTATGTGCAATGTAAAACACCCGAAAAGAAGGTTTAAAAGGATGAGGTGAACACTATTTTTCACTGTCTCGTTGCCCCTGGGTAGTGGCACAGTACACCCTTCGGCATGGATGACCACAACTGCAGAGTCGTCTTTTAGTCCGTCCTCCGGACAATTTCAGTAGCGCCACTCCCGGTCGGATTTGTTTTAAAGCACAGTTGTCACTTCTACGCAGCGCGGCGGGCTACACCGGCCCGGAGCAGAGCGCGGCGGCCGGCGAGGTCCGCGTCCGTGCTGCCTCCGACCCAGGCTCCTCCTCTGCGGTGTTTTAAAGCCATTCGTTGTTTTTGTGACAGTTGTTTTTTTTTTTTTTAAGGATAATAGAATTTGTCAGTTCCCTTCCCTGGGCACCCACCCCGCACAGGCCGTCCTCCCGCGCGACGGTCTCGAGTAGCCAGCCTGCGCCAGCCTTCGCCGCGGCTAATGGTGCGCGGCTTCCTCTCTCCTCTTTGGAGCAAGACATTAAATGGAGGGGCTATTATTTTTTTTCCTTGACCTCGAGGACCGGCCACGCCCCCTGAGATGTGCGTGCCCCACTTTGGAGGCCCCACTTTGGAGGCCCCCGCCCCAGACCGAACACAGCTCCCCTCCTCCTGAAAGCTCCGTGGAGAACCCTCCTGAGACCTCATCCTTCACGAGGGTCGTGCAGCCGGTCAAAGGAAGACTCAGCGGGGCGGGTCGCACGGGCCGCCCGGCCCCCTCCCCTCCCCTCCCTGGGGTTCTCCCTGGGGACTGAGGAGCCTCTCGGAGGCCAGTCTGGCAGGGCCAGCAGCTGGACAGCCGCAGCCAGGCCGCGCTCAGCCCGGACGGACTGACCCGGAGCTGGCCCCTGGTCGCAGAGTCCCCGGGCAGGCCCCGGGGCTGGGGCTTTCCCGGGGTGGGGGGGGGGGGCCCAGCGGGCCGCCAGAAGCCGCGGCCAGACGGGGGAGGCTGCTGCTCCCCCAGCTTCACGGTGGCATTTCTGAAATCTCATTTCCTGTCACAACTCCGAGAGGCAGGTGTTTCTGTTTTTAAATGTCTGCCGTTGCTATTCCGGTCGTGTGAGTCGCTCGTTTTCCAAGGACCGAACTATTTTTTCCTCTGGTGGAGGCACAGCGAGCAGCCAGTGCACCCCAGCCGGGATCAGCTGGGCGGCCAGCGGCCCCTCCCGCTGCCAGCGCAGCCCGGGGACCTGGGGCCGCCCCGCAGACAGCTGGGGCCCGCGGGCCACGCGCGGCGTTCTCCCGGGCGGTTCTACAGCCCTCTGTGTTTGGGTTGTATCGCACAACCCAAGTGCACTGGGCCCCACGCGGGAAAAGCAGACAGCACAAGGCAAGTCCCTGCAGGCTCAGGGAGACCTCCGCCCACGGGGTGGAGAGGCCCTGGAGGTCAGTTCAGGCCGGAGAGAGAGTCTCGCGTGAAAGGCAGAACCTCAAATCCAGGCGTCCTACAACCGGGTCCCACGAACACCCTGAGAAGCACCAGCCAGAAGTCAGGGGCTCCGTGACCCCCTCTGTGAGAATGTTAACCTTCACGGGAACAAAAATCTCGAAAGTTTATTAAAACATGTTCCACCTCACATAGAAGAGACTTTCATACCTGTTTCTAGAGATTTCAGCACTACATAGTGTTCGTCTTTCAAACAAACGGAGGAGAAACTCGTATTCACGGACATCACGGCGTTCTGCGCCTGTGAAACGCGCGCCGTGCTTGCAGCGGAGACGAGACGTGGAAGAAGCGTGTCATCGCACCTCCGGGGCCAGCGCCACTGAGTCACTGTTCCGTGTGTGGGTTCAGGAGAACAACGTGGCAGTTCACAGTAAAGTAAGTGTGATTTCTTTTTAAGTCACTGTTTAAAAAAAATAAACAAACTTACGCAAGGTTATATGTCAATCGCCTCAATCTTTTAAAATCACTGTTAAATGTGCTCACTTGAGTTTCAGTGGTTTTGCAGGGACTTTTTGTATTTTATTTGTACACTGGTTTCAGTTTTAGACTTAGGTAAACACTACCAAGAACCCACAGTTTACATAATTTTGTTTTCCTACTTATTTCAGTAATATGATAAGCCAAATAATTTAAGTCAACCCTGGGAGAATCCTAAAACTTTTGGTTTCCTTTCTAAAAATCATCACTTCAGTGTTTGACGCGGGTGTCTAGAATGAAGGCTTCTGCTGGAAGAACTGTGGGACAGTCTCTCAGGGTTTGGGGCCAGAAGGAGAAGGTATGCACTTGACAGTAGGAGCTAAGTTTAAACAGACTGTGTATTACCAGCATCATTACTTGTGCCTGAAATCTTAGTCTCTAGCACTTTTTGGTCAGTAAGTAAAAAGTGAACTTCATGTATGTGCTGTTGTGGAATGAACCAAATGAAATGTGACTTGAACACACACAGTCTCCTGGGAGCAGCTGCGGGCAGGTGAGGTCATTGCCACAGTGTGGGGGCGGGGGGGGGGAAGCTGGCACCTTGCCTACTCCCGCCTCCTCTCTGGGTGACTGAAGCTCAGAGCACTCACTGACCTCTCTCACTGGCGGGGTTGTCGTGACCGTGACCGGGAGGACAAGGGCCACAGCTGGGACTGGGTTGTTTCTCAGACTTCCCAAGAGCCTCACTGTCCACAGGGGTAAAACAAGAAAGACAGCAGTGCAAGAAGCTTAGAGTTGGAAACAGTGGGTTCATGCAAGGCATGAACAAGCCTAGGATGCGGCAAGGTGTCCCCCGCTCTCTGCAGTGTGGGGACCCCACCCAGGAGCAGATCATCAACAGCCCTTCTGGTGCCCAGCAGAGCTGGGAACACTGGTGCCAGGCCCCCCTGGGGACAGAAACCCCAGAGACCTGGGCTCTCTGCCTTCTGAGACAGAAACCTGCTAGAATCCTCTCCTTTGGAAGGTGTTGTTCATTAAAGGAAGATAAAACAAGGGTGGTTAACAAGCCCAACACGAATGGAGCGCTGGGGAGTCATTTTCCAAAGCCAGATGCCTCGGGACCAGGTGGGGATGGGGGGAGGGGTGTTGTTTCCAGGAAAGACAGAGCTTCTTACCATCACCTCCCTGTCCCTGGACACGGTTGGACCTCACCCCAAGTGCACATGTTTGCTAGGCTGGCAAAAATAAAGTGCTACAGACTTGGAGGCTTAAATGAGGCATTTATTCTCTCACAGTTCTGCAGGCTAGAGGTCCAAGATCAAGGTGGCCTGTTTCTCCTGAGGCCCCTCTTCTTGACTTGCAGGGGGCCGTCTTCTTGCTGTGTCTTCACATCACCTTTTCTCTCGCCATATGGACCTCTGGTCCCTCTCTCTCCTCTTATAAGAACACCAGTCCTATTAGATTAGGGACCAGCCACATGGCCTCACTTAACCTCAGCTACTTCTTTAAAGACCCTGTCTTCACACACAGTCACATTCTGAGGGGATGCCTGGGATTAGGACTTCCACATACGAAGTTTAGGGAAACACAGTTCAGCCCCTAACACCAAGAACATAGCGTTGTGTGAGGTATGGGCGCTCCAGACCCAAGCTGTGTCCTTGCTGGTGAAGGTCAGGCAGATCCCCGCCTGCCACGGTGGCTTCCTTCATATTCACAAGTCTGTGCAGTAGCTCCAAGAATGGCCTGTCCCTCACCTTTGTTTCAGCCTCAGGCAGGATGGGCTGACTCTGACGGTTGGCCCAGACTCTTGTCTTTGAACTGCAGGCTGTTGAGCTAGCACTGAGCACTCCTTGTGTTCATGTCTGCGACGGTGGCACAAAGTGGCTGTTTTCATATGGACTGCAGAGGCCAGGTAGGCCCCAGTGACCCTGGGCCCCGGTCCAGTATCTTCTCAGGACAGCACAGGTCACCTCAGGTGTCCTTTGGGTTATGTTTACTCAGACAGCTAAGCAATACGTGCAGCTCCCAGGCCTGGCTGCCACACACGTCCGCCCCCAGTACCCCGTCACATGCCGGGCCTGTGAGTCAGCTTCCCCGGACACGCAAGGTGCTGAAGAGCCACGGGCTTTCGGCTTTATTAGCAGCACTACCTGCCCCCATATCTGCTCGATGGGTCTTCATCTTGTAGAGTATAAGTAATAGGACCAGACTTCCATTTCCATCTATGACGGAACAGGTGACTCAGACCAATTGTTCTTACCAAAAACAATGGGAAAAGCTGGACCAAATATAAAAATTATGGAAGGCAACAGAGAGCTAACATAAGAGTGAAAAATTACTGGGCCAAGATCCGACAGAGAGCAGAAACTCAGGTGCATAAGGCAGGTGTTCAGAGTCCGGGTGCATTTGCTGACCGGTGACCCAGAGAGCAGGGGGAGAGTCCACGCTGCTCGGGAAAGCCCCGTGGGCTGCTGGGCAAGTGGACACAACAGCAGCGCGAACACTGGAAGCGGAGTGAACGGACTCAGGGCTTTCCTGAGGTAGTCATATTGTCTAAGGAGAGGTGAGGGTACTCATTTGTTTTAGAATTTGATAACTCAAGGAAGTATTGTAATATCCATATTTGACCACAAAAATTATGTATTTATAAAAATATCATTTCCAAACTAAGAAAGGAAAAGATGAAATAATTTTAAAAGCAGTTAAAAAGATGAAAAAGAAATGGAAATAGGCTCATTGGGACACAAGAGCAAATAATAACATTTAAGCCCAAGTGAATCAGTAATTGTATTAAATATAAATGGACTAAATGCTCCAATTAAAAAGATAAAGATTGATGATAAAAGTAAAACCCAATTATATATGAGCTGCTTATAGGGAGCATGCCTAAAATAAAAAGATACAGAAAGGTTAAAAGTTAAAATATGGAAAAAGATGTAACAACCAAAAACTTTAAGAAAGTTGAGGTAACCATAGTAATATCAGAAAAATAGAATTGAAAGCAAAACACATTATTAGAGGTAAAGAGGTATTTTATAATAATAAGAGGTGTAATTGGCCAGAAAGACACAGCAAATCTAAATTTGTATGTGCATAATAAAATAGCCTCGAATATGCAGAAAAGAAAAATGTTGATAACCAAAAACAGAAAAGGCAAATCTGTAACTATGGTCGGAAGATAGTAACACATTTCTTCCAGAAACTTTGGGGAAAACCAACAAAAATTCTGAAAGGAATTGAAAGGACACACCACTTAACTGGAGAAATTGACCACAACGACCGATACCAAGACATAGTCTAGTAAAATATTGAACTTTAAAAATAAAAAGGAGAAAAATCCTTTGGACATCCAGACAAAAAGACCAAGTAACTTATAAGGGAGAGAAAATTCAATTCCTGAGAAACATCTTGATAGCAACATTTTTATGCTGGAAGAAAATGGGTAAGATATTTAAGATACGCAGAAAATAAGACGCAAGAACTTTCTAGTCAAACTGACTTTTGAATATAAATGTTTCGGACAGCAACAAGTGAAATTCAGGGAATGGTGATTCTATAGCCCTGGCTTGGGCAACTAGCAGGGAATGAAGCTGAGAGGACCCAGCTGACCACTCTGTGTGTGTGTGTGCACATCGCTCACCATTTCCCACTGAAAGAAGCCAGTGCTTCAAGGAGGAATGTCCGGGATGAGAACGGTACAGGATGGAGTCTCTTGTCACAGGGGATGGAAAAGAAGCTATCAAAGACACAGGGGCCCAGCAGAACTTCAGCTGGCCAAATACGGGACAATTTAAGTAGCAAGGATAATTACGGAAACGGATGATCCAACACAGCAACCGAATTCTGTTTTCTGCGCATGAGTTACATATATGTAATTTTTTCTATTTTTTATCCTCAGACAAGCAAACAAATGAGTACTCCCCAGATCTGGGGCGGGGGGTGGGGGGGCTCAAACAGAAACTACCCCAGACCCCACATAGCTTTTATTTTTCCATTTGCCGTGTTTTTGTTTCTTTGTTTGTTTTATCATATATTGAGTTGATTCAAAGGGCTCAGAGTCCAGTTGGGGGAGAGATGTATTTGCAAATAAAAAATTTAAGAATTCCTGGCAAGTGCATGCACTCAAAGGCATCACAGGTGTTAGCAGTTGAGGACAGAGTGTTGTTGTTTCTCAGAGCGGGAGCAGAAAGACTGTGGGCTCGTGACACAAAATTTGGGGTTACGTCTTGGCTCTGCGCGACCTTGGGGAGGTCCATTCCAGCTTTCTGAGTCCTTGTCAAAAGCCTCAAAGGCTCGCACTGGTGCTCTCTGTCAACGGAAAAGGCGTGTAGACTCCTTGGTCGGGGCGGCCCGGTTTCCATGCAGGCTGCTGGTGGCAGGGGAGGGGACAGAGGCCAAGGAGACACAGCAAAGGGGGAGGCAAAAAGCCAAAGAACTCACAGAAGAGCTCTGGGAAGTCAAACAGGGGCAGCCAGGACTTCCCCCTTCTCGGAAGGGGCCCTCTAGCTGCCTGGGCTCCCGCTGGCCAGCGGAATGGGGCCAGGTGACCCTGTGCCTGACAAATCGTGCCCCCTCTCCACCCCACCCGTGTGCCCACTCAGCCTTCCCTGTCAGCCTTCAGGAAGGAGGATGCAGTGGGTTCTACGTCCACGTGCTGGATCTAAGTACTCCAATGACAGTTCAAGTTTAATTAACCCTAACTCACCATCCAGCTTGGCAGGGTCTCCATATTGAAATCTGGACCGGAAGCCTGCGGTTCCAGACTTACAGCTGCACAGCCTGATGAGCCCAGCTACAACGCTGCCCTCGTAGTCCAAGGTGAGTGACTATAAAGGATCTTGTTTACTCATCAGCAAGAAGGCCTGGGAGAATGGAGGGAAGGGTATGTGCATGACGAGGAAGGACCAGAACTGGGCTGGAGAGACATCCTTAAGACACACGGTTCTAAAATCCCATCGGCTTGGCATCTCCTCCCTTTCTGTGTTTTTTTAATTGGAAAATTCGATTTTGAATTTATGGATTTTTTTAATTGATTGATTTTAGAGAGTGAGGGAGAAAAAGAGAGAGAGAGACATTGATTTATTGTTCCACTTACTTATGCGTTCATTGGTTGATTCTTGTATGTGACCAGACCAGGGATCGAACCTGCAACCTTGGTGTATGGGGACAATGCTCTAACCCCTGAGCTGCCTGGCCAGGGTGAACTTATGGTTTGAGTCCTAGCTGAGCTGCCAAGCAATGGCTCAGGCCACCACAAACTTCTGCTTCCTCATCTCCATCACGGGCCCCAAATGCCTGCTACTGTGTTATGGAGAGAGAAGAGCAAAGTCGTGTAAGGAAAGCACTTTGTAAACGCAAAAGAGTTCGACATTATCAGTCCTTTCCTCCAGAGCGTCCCTGCAGGACCGCCAAAGGAAGGGTTTGCTAACCAAATAAAGGGATGGGGGAGCACCTGTGTAGCAGTCGAGCCCCGAAAACTCCTCTCCCACACTTCAAAAGAAACATCTGACCTCCTCACAGACTAGTCTTAATTATTCTCCCAGGTCACCCAAGAAGGCCTGCCGGGCAAGGGCCACACTTCGCCGTGCGCCTGTTGGAGCGTCCCACAGCCGCACAGCGTTAGAAATGCGACCGCTGCTGGACTTCTGCAGGACCGGGCCGCGGCCGGGAGCCCCACCCCAGAGCCCTCCACGCGTTGGGCATTTTCTGGTTTGTACCCTCCGTGAGCCTGGTTGGCAGAAGCCCAATCACACAGCGGTCGCTGGACTGAGTCTGCTCACAACTCCCTGGCTGTGTGTCCTTGAGCAGGTCCCTTAGCAGCCACCTCGGCCGGTCTGTGCAGCAGGGAACTGATAATCCCTCCTCACAGGGCCTGCCTTGAGGATTAAAGAGTTCACGCAGAGCGCTGAACAATACCTAGGGAGCAGGAAGTCTTCAAAGCATATTAGCTAATTTGCTCAGAACTGAAAAGTCAAAACTGTAAGTGAAAGGCGTGTTTCTCAGAGAGGCGGAGCCGCCTGAGGAGGCCTCCTCCTTCCTGGGCTTCGGTGCCAGATACGAACTCAACACAGATAGTGGCTTTTCTCTCCTGAGCAACGGCCGTCAGACGCCCATCGGCCCAGGACTCAGGCTTGAGGGGCAAGTCCATCCACCCACACGGCCGGAGCTGCCCTGGAGCAGGCCAGCAAGGTCCCTTTCACACACATGCTGTTCCCCTAGCGCAGGTTTAACTATTATACCAGGTGTCCCACAGCACTTCGCGTGGAAGTGTGGCCCCCACCCCCACCCCCACCCCGCCACCCTGCCCCAGGCATGATTCAGTGTTCCAGCTTCTTTATGAGAGACCATGAGTTCATCTCAAAATGTCAAATGACCCTTGGGGACTAGTGGCCGCTGCTGTGCTCGGTATCTTCACAGGGGTCGTCCTGCGCCCCGAGGTCGTCTGCACTTCAGGATACCCATCTGGACGTCTTAAGGAGCTACTACCGTGTCACCCAATCAACCGAAAAGTCGGGGAGCCCACAGCCTGCTGGGTGAACACGGGGACCCTCAGCCCGAAGGCATGACCCCAGGATGGAGAAGGCGGTGGTCGGCAGAGGGACCATGGAAATCTGACCACCCGGAAACAGTAACTAGACAAGTGGGTCTCACGTGGTGTGCTTGGAAAACAATTTATTTTAGTTTTTGCCCATGACTTACCCACTGAGATATGCTCACGGGGCTAGCTCTGAGCCTACCCATGTGGCTCTCCTGTTCACTCCTAATTTTCAAAAGCCCTCTCGGTCACTGTTTAAAAACTTGTATGATGGAAATTTTTACACATGACCACAACGAAAGAAAACGGTGTAATAAACCCAAGCGTGAGCACTCACCCGGCTTCCACAGTTATCAGCCGTCATGCTTGTTTTCTCAAGTCCCACCTCTGCCGAAACACACACTCTTCTTTTTGCTGGGACATTTTAAAGCAAATCCTCTGATTACTTTGAGAAACAAAAATAGCCTTCATTTAGTGATGAAGAAGCCCAGCCCAGTGAGAGAATCCGGGACTTGCAAACTTCCAGTTAAATCTTGCTCTCCCTCCTCCGACTCCCTGCCTGGGCAGCTGCAGACTGGGAGCTTGTATTTGATAGGGCGTAGGGTGGGGTGTCTTTTCTGTTCCCTACCGCGAGTTCCTCCTCCTCCCCCTTGCAGCTGCCTCTGGCTCCCTCGGGGCTGGGGTGAGGGACAGGTGAGGTGTTCCCCCCAGCTCTCACAGGCTACGGGCAGGGCTCAGCTGCAAGTCCCAGTGGCCTCCTCATCTCCCCCCTGCAGGTCTTGCCTACTCAGAACTGTCCCCAGAGCTGAGGGAAGGAGAGTGGAAGCAGACACCTGTCAGATTACCTGGGCCAGACCGCAGTGCATGCTGGGTAATCTGAGCATGGTGTGGCCGCCCCTCACTGTGAAGACATTATTTCAGTGGAAAGAAAAATTTAGCGGGGGCAGAAAATATATGCACAGCCTTCACCCACTAGGTGAAAGGCAGGATTCTCGCTCCCATGCAGGTGACCTGGCCTGTCACTTGGGAATGGGGGAATCACCATCACTTCTTGCCTTGGAGCTGTGCTGTCCAGTATGGGAGCCACTAGCTGCGTGTGGCTACTGAGCATGTGAGATGTGCCATAAGTGTGAAACACACACTGGGTTCCCTCCAGGAACGTAAAATATCTCAATAGTTTCTATGCCGATGACCTGTTGAACAGATGTTTTTCTTTTTGCATTAAATCAAGTGTATGATTAAAATTAATTTTACCTATTCCTTTTTCACTTTTTCATATGGCTACTGGAAGACTTTAAGTGACGTCTGAAGCTGGCTGGCCCTAGAGCCTAGTTGGACCCCTTCATTTCACGGAGGGTAACACTGAGGCCCAGAGAGAATCAACTGGCTTGGCTCGGGGTCCCCGAGCGCCACAGCCGAGCATGGCAGCTGTTTCTGTTGCTCCCACGAAACAGCGCAGAATGAAGTCTCTCCGAGCCTGCTCGAACAACAGTGGGGAGTGAGGAGGGCAAGCGCACGGCCCCCCTGCTGCGGGCGCAAGGGCTGGGCAGGCGCCAGCAGACCGCACTTGCCCTGAGGAGGCCTGGCTGTGAGGTCAGCGCACTGGCAGCCCGCGGCTGAGATCTGGCCCTCACAGCTGTTTTGATTGGCCCGAGACGTCTTACAGTTTTTTGAATCACTTGCCAACATTTCAGCATTAGGAAACGGCAATAAAGATACAGGTTCCAACTTCTGAAAAATTGTATCTGGCCCCGTGGGCTTGTTTTCCTGCCTGGCAACAGCCCGCTGCCACCCCACAGCTGTGCCCCTTCCCATGCGGCATCAGACCCCTGGGTGCTCCCCAGCCTCGCCCTCCCCGGGGAGGCTCACAGCTCGATCTCTGCAGGTGAGAGGAAGGCGGCGCAGGGGTTCCCGTCACTCCCGTCGCCATCGCCAGGCGAAGCAGTGGAAGCTAAGCCCAGAGGGCTTCGGGCTCCAGAGGAAAAAACAGCATGTTTTTCCCCAGCTGCTCCACCCATTCACGTCACCTCCCTGCTCACCACGAGCCCTTGAGTTTGCCATTTGATCAAATTTGTTTCTTCTGCATCCCGTGACAAGAGGGAAGGTGGCACTTTACCCATTTTTGTAAGGAAACTGAGGCTCCGAGAGGCCGCCCTCCACTGAATACAAGGAGGGGGCTCTAGAGTGGGGGCCCTGAGGCTGGGGGCTGCCCTCTAGCTCTCCAACATAAGCCGCCAGGATCCGTGGGCCGGGGCCGAGGGCGCTCCCGCCCCAAGGGCCGATGGTGTGTCTCAGGGGCACCATCTGGTATGGGCGTGGGCAGGCTGTCTGGCTTCTCCCAGGGGCCACATCCAGGCACAGGAAGGAAACCCAAATTGGGCCATACTGAGGGCAGGAAGCCACCAAGGGGGCAGTCACCGCTGGTGAGACGGTTGGCTTGTCACTTCTGCTACTTTCCCAGCTATCGGGCCATCCTCTCTCTGTCCCTGATGGCCTCCTGCCTTCGGTGCTCCGGAACCCAGCCTTGTCCCCCAGGATGCGTGGAGCCCGCCATACCCAGGCACCTCAAGAGTTCAGAAGTGAAGCCCCGGACCAGGCCTGCCTGCTGGGGCTGCACCCCAACTGGAAGGGGGCAGCCCCCAAGCCAGGGGCCCTCTCAGCTCCCCCACTGAAGGGCTTGGAAGCTCTTCCCTGTCCCAGGAGACCTATGGGGTGTTTCTTGCAGCCAAATGAGCAGGCAGGAGAGGGCAGGCTGCCTGGGGAGGGAAGGGGGGAGAATTGGGCTTTAGTTATAAACAAACTTATTTCACATTGTTACAAATTAGTCTACCGGGTGAGGGGTGTGGGCAAGATCATAAGTGACAAGTGCACAGCAGGTGATGCCCAGCAGCTGGCAGACGCCCATCCCCAAAACTGATGAACCAACATGGAGACAGACACTTGCCCAGTTGCCTGGACTGGAGTGCAATGCCTGCTGGGTAAATGGCCAAGGGTGTGAGTCCTGTGTTCACCGGGGAGTGAGGGGAGAGGAAGGCCTGGCTGCTCTGACCAACCAGGTGCGTCCTAGACGCAGACTGCTCATGCGCTTGCTCCTTTGGCAACGGGGTCATTCACACTTGTGCTTGTTCGTTTATTTCCCTTTCTTTGTTTGTTCAGGCGGGGAAGCCCATGCAGGGATATGGAAAGATGGCTAAGTGGAAAAAAAGGAAGGGAAACCGTGCACTTGGAATGCTACCTTTATGGTGGAATGAGGAACGTAAGAATATTACTCAGGCTTGCTTGGATCTGCACGAAGGAAATATGAAAGGAGGATGCACAAGAAGCTAATGACATGGTTGCTGAGAGACAAAGTAGGAGGAATGTATCTCGAAGTATACATTATAAAAATAAAACACAATTTCACATAAATAAAAATACCACAAACAACTTCATAACTAGTTAAAAAGGCAGAGGTGGATGACCCGCCCTGACCTCACCGCCGTGAAAACGTAGGTATATCCAGTTGCGCTTGTTCCCTTCCCGTTTTAATCCAGGTGCTTTCCCCCCAGTTTTATTGAGAAGTAACTGACACATGTCACTGTATTATCCGTATGTTTGATATTTTATATATGAATACAATCACAGGGCTCATAAAATTGTCTCCTATTTTTTCTCCTTGAACATCGTAAGTGTTCCCCAGATTGCCACGTTGAATACATAAAATGCCACCAATCTTGTTTCCAAAGATCTGCGGTCTTCATTTCTTCACTCCTAAGGGTAAGCAGGTCAGTCAGCTCCAGAGCTCATCACCCAGCAGTCCTGGGCGCCGCCGGAGTGCAGGGAGGGACAAAGACATTTAGTACACAGCAGAAAAACAGAGCCAGGACCCGGCCTTTCCCCCAACTCAACTGTGATCATTCACTGGCCTAACACAGCCAGGGCACCCACACAGAGATTTATCTCCCCTCTGAGCTAAGAGTCCTTTAAGATCTGTTTACTTGTTACTTGTAAATAATTGTGGACTCACAGGGGGTTGCAAACACAGGACAGAGAGGTCCCACGCACCCTTCACCGGGTTCCCCCATGACTACGTCTCTGGTAATGCAGTGCAGCGTCAGAGCCAGGAAATCGACACTGACACAACGCATGCAGAGCTACGTCATTTCGTCCGGAGTACCGAACCAGTAACAGTCTCCCCGCTCCAGGGAGGGAACTAATCCAGCCCCGCAAAGTTGCCCTCCCGGCACCCCGTCTGCTAGCCCCGCCCCCAACCCTGGCAGCCGGGAGTCCCTTCTCCAGCCCTCCGGCTTCTTCATTTCAAGAACGTTGTATAAATGGAATCACACAGTACGTGACATTTTGAAATTGCCTTTTGGGCGACTATTCCAAATAAACTGTTATGAACATCGTGTACAGAATTGTGTGTGGACATAAGCTTCCATTTTCCCTGGGATAAATGTGCCACGGCTGAGTCACAGGGTGTCTGCTTAGTTTTTGGAGAAATCGCCTGTTTTCAGGGTGTCTGGCCCATTTCACGTTTCTATCAACAGCGCATGAGGTTCAGGCTGTCCACGTCCTCGCCGGCATGTGGGGGTGAGCGGATCACACAAGTGGGCCGAACAGAGCTTCTCCCGGGCATGGGCTGAAGATGCTGAGACACAAACTCTTGACTGTGACTACTAGTTGTGAGGTGTATTCATTTTTTAAAATTTCTGCATTTCTGATGCTTTGACGTCTGAGGCCTTGCCAGCTATGGAAGGACTGGCTTCGCAGAGTGAGCCAATTCCTGGAAGAAGCAAATAATTCTACTGCAAGCAGGGCCTTCATTTGCAAACTAACCTGTCCAGAGCCTGTATCTCCCCCTTACCTCTTCTGTCCGCTCTGAGACTCCAGGCCACTGTCTCCCTGCCCTCGCTGCCCCGGGGCCGGATATCAGACACCTAGGTGCAGACCCCAGATTGCTCTGAAAAATTCCAACCTAGCAGTCCAAAGCGTACTCACGCTGTTGGCCCATTCCTTCCCACAAAACCCATACAAAAGCCTCTGGCCCATGTTTTCACGCTGCACACTCCACCTCCCCACCAAGCCTGGGGCTTCCCTGTGTGGCCCTGCATGGCCAAGTCCCCACCTCTTGGGAACTGGGAGCACCATACTGTCTTTTCAGTGTCTATTGCCTCCTGATCTGCTGGCCTCTCCATACCTGAATAATAATAAAACCTACCTCTCAAAATATTAGCATAATGTATGCTTGTAGTTGCAGGGGGCGGGGGGGGCACCCTTACCCGCCATGAGGAGAGCCTACCTGAGAGTGAAGCGCATCTAAAGAAACACAATGGAGAGACGGAGCATCCTGATGGAATCATTTCAGGCCCTGGGTCCACCTGTGTCTGCCGAGCACCCCAGACTTTCTGGCTTCCTGGTTACATAAGCAATTTCCTGTTTGTTTTCTTCCTTTGCTTAACCTATTTGAGGTTGGATTGTCCGTCCCTGGCGCCCTAACTGGTGCAGACAGGCCACGGCGCCCTTACCCAGGGCTGTGCTACAGTCAGACCAAGACTTCCAGGAATTCTGCGGAAATAGTCCTTCCTGTGCTGCATCCTGGCAAAGAAAGAAATCATCAGGTGGTGGGCACAAGGCCCAGGCTGGAGCATCTGCTCAGTGCTGGCAGGCACCGCGGCTCTCCGGGCTCCGTGTCTTCACCTGTACAAGAATGGTTAGGCGGGCCCTGGCTGGTGTGGCTCCGTTGGAGCGCTGTACTGTAAAACCGTTCCGCTCCTGATCAGGGCACACGCCTAGTTTGCGAGTTCGGTCCCCAGTCGGGGAGCAAGCAAGTAAGAGGCGACTGATCGATGTTTCTCGGGTGAGAATTTTAAAAAGTAAAAGAATGTTTAGGTGGGATGTATCCATGGGCCCTCCCTGTTTGCCTCCCTCAGCTCACAGAGCATTCACTGCAAGTCGGGCACTTGGCTGAGTGATTCATGTACGTGAATCACTGAACCCTTTTAACAGCCCTGTGAGGGAGCACGATCCCCATTCTCCGGATGAGGAGCATGAGGCCCAGACGGGTGAAGGTGGAAGAGCTGGGATTAGACTCAAGCCGTCTAGCCTTGGGGTTCTCACTGATGACTACTGCTGAGCCCCTCACCTCCACCTGCGAATGGTCCACCTGTAAGAAGTTCTGTGTCTAACTTGAGTCCTCACTGTTTTCCTTCCTTCCTTTCTATAGTTTTTTTCTTTCCCAGACTTCCCTCAAAAGTATTAGTCCCTGTATTTTAAACATTTTCCTTTCTCTCTAAATTCCCTCCCACATTCCCCTTCATGTGGGATCGATAATCCCAAACTGGACATGCAGCAGGGGGGAGGGGGCCTTTGTTCTGGGCCCCACGTGAGGCAAAGGCCTGTGGCACCTTATGGACAGTGCCCCCAAATGCCAAGCAGAAGGGCTTGGGGACCAGAGGCACTGGGCAGGGCCCAAAGCTGAACCTTGCCATGGACACCTCTTCCTGAAGATTCAGGGGCCTGTCCCGTGTTTGTGAAATGTAACAGGCCGTTCCTTTCATCTTCCCCACACCCCACGATGTACTTTTCCCTCCCCACCATCGCCACCACCACTGCTTTATAGATGAGGAAATTTTACATCCAGGCCTGACTTCAAAGCTCGTGTTCTTTCTTTTACGTCATTGAAAAGAGTTCTTTTAAACACCTCCCAGCACACAGCACTGCGTTGTTTGTGGCTGTCAGGGAGCGTGGGGACGGCCCCCAATAGGGGCAGCTTCTTTCTTTGGAAAGAAGCGGAAGTCAACATGGGGGTGAGGACCAGGCCGGGCAGCACATGGCCACCAGAACAGTGGCCTGAGACAGGGCACCTGTGACCAGGAGCTGGCAATCCAACTGGGGCACCCGACTCTCCTGTCACTGTAGCCTTGAAGGTCCCTGCCCCCTGCATTCTCAAACAGAAGTGTCCCCCAACAGCCACCTGCTGACCCAAAAGGGCAGTGCCAGGGCTCCAGTGGCCGTGCACCAAGGCCATTCTCACGCCCGAGGCAGCAGTTGGTGGCAGCTTGAGCTCTTATTGCAAAGGCGGCTCTTAAGCAGGGTAGACACCATTGCCAGCCCTCCTCTGGTTGCCCAGGGATCCTCCCCACCCAGGCAAGTGTCTGATGAACTCACCGGTCAGGGGCCATTAGATGCCCTCCCGCTGTGGAACCAGGGCTCTAAGCCTGGAAGGAAGTTACTGGGGGAGCAGGAGAGCTTCCCTGGAAGAATTTTCTAAATTCAGAGCCGGGCAAAACCACTGCTTCCCTTACCAGCCCCTCCCAACCTCGCCTCCACCACACCACACACCACACACTACAGCTGCCGGCACAATCACCTATTGGGGGGACCCTCATGGGCCTTTTCAATGATGTGAAAGAAAGATAGGACGGTAGGTCCCCTCCAGCTTCGTGTCTAGTTGCCCCTGGCCCACATCATGGGGGGCGGGGGGCCGCTCTCTCACTCTGAGTAGGAAGGGAGTGTTCCCATCATCCGGGCGGGGACACATTTCTCCCAGGGAGGTGGCATTGCCAGCCCTCCCCATCAGGGGGCGCAGTAAGCACGTTCTTTCCCAGACTTCACCTCATTAGAAGCCATTTCCTCTAGTTTTGTCCAGCAGTTTCTCTAATGCTCTGGTCCCATTGCAGCATATACAAAAAAAAAAATAAATAAATTTTCCTGGTGCCACCCCTATACTCTGCTACTTACTCACCATGACATGTCCTGCTTATTTCAGTGAAATAATTTGTAAGTAACAGGATGGCGGGGGGAGGAGGGTGGCGATCTTCCTGATTCTTTAAGACCATTCACAGGAAGCATTTTCCTCCCAAACTGTTGAATTTTCAGGCATCTGAGTCCCGGAGAGACAAGATCCCTGTGCCTCACTTTCCTCACCAGCAGAACAGTGATAATATTCCCTTATAAACTTTCCTAGAGGATTACGACACCTGCCTGTCACACAGTAAGTGCTCACTAAACGATGGTGGTCATTTTCATGCCTCCTGGGCCAGGCTCCAGAATTTCCTCTTTGGCCTGGAGCTCCCCCTGCTGGGAGGGGCGCCCCCCCGCCCCCCCTCCCTTTCAGGAACAGGAGCTTAGGAGAGCTGAGACTGGGGAGTGGCGGGGGGGGGGGGGGGGGGTGGGGGGGGGGTGGCGGTTGAGGGGGGTAGGTTAACAAAACAACTTTCCTACCAGATGCTCTGAAAGCACAGCCACCAGCACCAACCAGAGGCCTCTGGTCCCTTTGAGCCCACTTGGGCCCCAGGAGGTCAAGGGGCTCAGGAGGCCCTCAGACCTCCAGGTTGGACCGGGCCCAGCCAGCGGGGCCCTGGCTCAGATTCCGCCACCTTCCTGATTCCGGGCCAGCGAGGGCCTGGCTTAACGTCACTGCAAGACCCAGGCTCTTGTGGACTAAAATGACAATTGTCTACCTCGGAGGAGTCCTTGCAACATCGAATTAAAGATCCTTAATAGGGTGAAGTCTAGGTGTCAGGAGACTCCGTGTCACTCCGCGCAGACCTTCGCCCGCCAGCGGGCTTTGTTTCCTCTGGGAGAGAGACTCGGGCAGGGGACCCGGCTGGGCCGTCTTTGCACCTGGACGACTAACCCCGGCGGTGCTGCTGCGGACCGGAGGGAGAAAGGCGGAGCCGCGAAGGGCTGATGCTCCAGACCTTCGCGGGACCACGGCGACCCCTGGTGGTCATCGCGGGAAGTGGCCAGCCAGCCGCGGTGCCTCCCCCTTCCTCTCCAGGTTCCCTTGCCTCCTCCTTCCTGCTTCGGTCGCCTCTATCCCTAACCCTAATCCGGCCGCTCAGCTGTCCGCGGCTCGGGGACCTCTGTCCTCCTCCAGCTCGCCCACAGCGCCGCGTCCAAGCGCTTCCGACTCTTCTAGGGACAAACCCGGCCCAGGTCACCCGCCAGCTGAATGCCCCGGACGCACCACCCCTCTGACGCCAGTCTCCCCGCAGGACACTTGTCCCCTGGCTCCTGTACGATTCCCAGTAAAGGCCACTCCTGCCAGCCTCCTCGCACCGGCTGCTGTTGGCGGCTCTGCGGGAATTCGGAGCCGGTGCTGAAAAAGAGCCGCCCCAGGGGACGGAGATATCCTCTGCCCCATGCTGTCACCGGGCAAAGGGTTTGCTTACCCTGCACCTGAAATCCAGCTGCGGCTGCCCCAGACACGCCGGGCAAGGGGGGCATGGGGGGTTGTTCAGGAATGAGGAGAGAAGGTCACCAGCGCCCAAATGAGGATGAAACACAGGCCCCCTCCTCTGAGCACACTGATAGCCAGGCTGGTGCATTTCAAAGGTAAGGGGCATCCCCCAAACACCGGTTTTCCATGAACGGTCTGACGATGATGATGGTGATGATGATGACGATAGCTAAGCTTTATTAACCCCTTCTGGTACACCAGGCACACTGGAAGTACTTCACACACGTTTCTCTCAGTTTATCCCCACATCAACCCTAACGTGTTGCGTGCCTGCCCAAGTTTTATAGATAAGGAAACAGAAGCTTAACGAAGTTCCAGAAGTTGTCGAAGGTGCGACCAACGACGAGGAACTTCCTGTCTTAGAACGCGGAGACTCTCCAGCCCCCCAGACCCAGGCCTCCAGGTGCTGTCAGCTACTAGACTAGTGTACAGGTTGCTCGTTTTTGCACCCAGTGGAGGACTTCAGGTTACCCTCTTCCTGTGTGACTAGTCCTGTCTGTTGCTCCTCCACGTGCGGAGGAAAGGCGCCTCCAGGAGCCCAGGAGGTGACGGGCAAATCCTCCCGTCCTAGCTCTGCCTGTCCTGGGAGAGTTCCCAGGCTCACTCTCAACCCGCCGCCAGTGTCCGTCCACACCGAGGCTCCCGTTCTCAAAGGGTTTGCCCCTGTAGGAACACTGCGGCCTGGCCTGGCCCCAAATGAACTTCTTAGAGAACCCAGCCTGCCGCGGCCCGAAGCCACCCCCTGCACCCGTCCTGTGCTGCCCCCCCCCCCCCCGCCTGCGGTGAGTGGGGCCACCAGCACGGAGCCCCGTGCAGTGCGCACGCGGTTAAATAATGAATGAATGAATGAACGCGCAAATAAATGTTGGGTTAATTTCCTAGAGCTGCCCTAGCAAAGCGCCACAGACCACGTGGCTGAAAACAGCAACTTCTCTCACGATTTTGGAGGCCAGAAGTCCAAAAGCAAGGTGTCCCAGGGCAGTGCGCCCCCTGAAACTTGCAATTCCCGTTTATGCTGGTAGCTGGCAATCTTGGCGCGCCTCGGCGGTGCCTCACCGCAGCCTCTGCCCCAGTCTTCACAGGCCCCTCTCCCTGCGCGTCAGCCTGTGTCTCTTCTCTTCTCTTCTCATGAGGACACCTGTCTTGTTACTGCATTAGGCCCACCCTAGTGACTTCATCTTGACTACATCTGCAAAGACGCTGTTTCCAAGTAAGGTCACATTCACGGGTATCAGGGGTTAGGATTTCAACATACCTTGTTTGGAGGACACAATTCAACCCATAACCGTGGTCAAGGCCAGTTTGCTGATGGTCTTATTCTCAGTTCAACTAAGGCTCTCAGGGTTTGGTTTGTCACTGCAAGGAAAAGGTCAGCAGCGTTTAGGAGGCGATGTTGCGGCAGGGATGTGTTGGTTTCACCCTGGATTCCTCTCCCTTTTAATTAGTCCATCGGGGATACTTTTGTGGTCAGGGTAATGACTGTGTTTACTCCAAGAGTAAGTGCTTGTGTTATTTTTCTCTCTCTCTCCTTCATGTTAGGTGTTAAAATAAAACATTAACTTGGAATACAGTCTCTCCCTCCTGGGCAATAATAGAAACATTCTAACTTAAAGTCAGTCAAACTGACCTCACCACGTTACTGAAGTCCAAAGTCCTCTGCATGGTCCTTAAGCCTCATTACTGTCCAGCCCCAACCCTCCTTTCCTGCTCTTGCTGCTGCTTCTCCTTCATTCACTTACTCCTGGGGCTCCGTGGCCCCAGCTGCTTGCCCTTCCCGGAAATGCCCCACAGACTTCCACATCCATGCCCTTGCTGTGTCATTCCTGGAACTCCCTTCCCGTAGTCAGCTCTTCCTGTTGAAATTCTCCCCAGTCTTCAAGGCCAAGTTTGAAGGCCACCTCCTCCAGGAAGTCTTCCAAATTCCTCCTCACAAGGCTAGTGGCCCTGGTTGGCCTTCATCTAAGGCACTGATCACATGCTGCTTTGATCTGGAGTAAATTTACATTTTTTTTATTTTATTTTAATCATTGTTCAAATACAGTTTTCTCCTTTTTACTCCCAATCCAGCCCCCCCTCCCACCCCTCCCCACTTCCCTCCCATTACCACCCTCCCCTTAGTTTTTGACCATGTTCTTTAAGTTTGTTCCCGTGAACCCTTTCCAATGTCCCCTGAAATTCCCTCTACTCTCCCCTGTGGGCACTGTCAGCCTGTCCTCTATTTCAGTGTCTTTGGTTGTATTTTGCTTGTTTCTTTGTTTTGTTGTTTAGGTTCCTGTTAAAGGTGAGATCATATGGTATTTGTCTTTCACCACCTGGCTTATTCCAGCTCCATCCATGCTGTTGCAAAGGGTAGGAGCTCCTTCTTTCTTTCTGCTGCATAGAATTCCATTGTGTAAATGTACCATAGTTTTTTGATCCATTCATTTACTGATGGGCACCTTGGTTGCTTCCAGCACTTGACTATTGTAAATTGTGCTGCTATGAACATTGGGGTGCAAAGGTTCTTTTGGATTGGTGTTTCAGGGTTCTTAGGATATAGTTCCAGCAGTGGAATTGCAGGGTCAAAAGGTAGATCCATTTTTAGTTTTCTGAGGAAGTTCCATACTGTTTTCCATAGTGGTTGTATCAGTCTGCAGTCCCACCAGCAGTGCACTAGGGTCCCCTTTTCTCCACAACCTTTCCAACACTTGTTGTTTGTTGCTTTGTTTATGATGGCCATTCTGACTGGTGTGAAGTGGTATCTCATTGTGGTTTTAATTTGCATCTCTCTGATAGCCAGCGATATTGAACATCGTTTCATGTGTCTTTGGATTTTCTGTATGTCCTCCTTGGAGAAGTGTCTGTTCAAGTCCTTTGCCCACTTTTTAATTGGATTCCTTGTCTTCTTAGAGTGCAGTCGTGTAAGTTCTTATATATATTTTGGAGATTAAACCCTTGTCTGAGGTATCATTGGCAATAAATTTACATCTTTATTCCTGAGAAGCAGGAATGGAGCAAAGTCTAGAGGCCTGTTCATGTAAGAAGCAGCTGAGGTTGCTGACGATGTTCACTTGGAAGACAGAAGACTTCGGGGCAGTTATGTGTCCCATGCTTCTTTCAACTGGTAAGAGTCTACCCGACTAGAAGCCCCTTGTGGAAGCTATACCTGGGCTTCTTTGAGGTCCTTCACACACACACCCTGTGCCCAGCACAGGGCAGTGCTGAACACCTTCCTGAGATTTTGATAGGAACTGCATTAAACCTGTTTCAATCCGAATTGACAGCTCTATGCTGAGTGTTCCAATCCATGAGCACATGGCATGTTTCCCCATTCATTTAGATCTTTATTTCACCAGTATTTGTAGTTTGAAGCATGCAAGTCCTATGCTTGTTTTGTTTCATTTACACTTGTCTTTTTTAAGTGATTGTAAATAGTATTGTACTTTCAGTGTCCACATGCTCATGGCTCATAATAAAACAATAGACTTTGTGTGTAAATCTTGTATTCAATGATGTCACTGAACTCACTATTAGTTCTAGTTTTTAAAAATACATTCCTTGGGACTTTCTATGAAGACGAGCATGTCATCTGCACATACTCTTTTATTTCTTCCTTTCCAATCTGTATTCCTTTTAATGCATTATTACACAGGCGAGAATTTCCAGAGCTATGTGCTGAGTAAGAGCAGTGAAAGCAGCCCTGGCTGGTGTGGCTCAGTGGGTTGAGTGCCAGCCTGTGAACCAAAAGGTTGCTGGTTTGATTCCCAGTCAGGGCACGTGCCTGAGTTGCGGGACAGGTCCCCACCTGGTGGCGTGCAAGAGGCAACCAATCAATGTCTGTCTCACACATTGATAGCTCTCTCCCTTGCCCTCTCTAAAAACAGATAAATCTTTTTTTAAAAAATAGAGCAGGCATCCTTGACTTGTTCCCAATCTTAAGTGGAAAGCATCCAGATTTTCACCATTAAGCACAATGCTAGCTGTAGGTTTTTTCCCTATTTTTCTGAGTTTTTATGATAAATTGGTGTTGCATTTTGTCACATGCTTTGTGTCGATTGCTACAATTAGACATTTCTTCTTTGTTCTGCTAAAATAATTAGGTTAATTTTCAAACATTTAACCATCTTGACACTCCTAGAATAAACCCTACTTGGTCACTGTGTATATTTTTATGTCACTGGTCTTGTTTGGTGATATTTTAAGGAATTTTGTGTATATATTTATGAGAGATACTGGTCTTTTTTCTTTTTTTGGTATATTGCCTTTGTCTGATTTTGCATCGGGTTGAGTAGCTTCATAAAATAAACTGGGAAGTATTCTCTTCTATTTTCTGGATAAGACTGTGGTGGTTGGTATGAATTCTTCTTCAATGTGCCAGAATCTCTGGTGAAACCACCTGGGACTG